TTGCGAAAAACATGGGAAAAGTTTTTCTGTTTTTAACTTGTATGTATGGATTCAGACATGTAAAAAACAAAATTGCTAGGCGGGCCACCAAGTGAAAACTTTTTACAGTCAGAATTTTACTTTCCTAGTGAAAAAGAAAAATAAATAAAAAGTGTATCCAATTATTGGACAAAACTTCTTTTTTTTTTAATCAATAGTAATATGCTGTGTAATATATATTTTATCAATCAATAGTAATATATTTTTTAATCAATAGTATTATGACTGCCACCGAATTTATCTGGGTGAAGAGATGACTCGCACAAACAGACACCTCTATTGGTTAGCCCGGCAGAAGAGAGCGGCGGGAAAAATCAAATATACGTGGTTTGCTTCCGGAAAGGTGCGGTGTCGAAAAGAGGACGGACATAGAGTCATCCTGATAGAACAGGCCTCGGATCTAGATGTATTTGACTGACTACCTAGAAGCCGTCAACCCCTTAGCCTCATTAAAATAGTCTTACTTCTTCTCTTAGTGCTATCTCTACACCGTCACTCATCAATCTATTTATTTTCAAGTACATTCTCTTTATTTATTTTTAATGTTAATATTACTTTTTCTTCACTTAGTTTCATGTACGATAATCGCTTTTCTGTACTTTCTACTCGTTTTGTCTTCTCGCTACCAAACACTGACTGTTTCTCTCCAAATCCACTGTATGTCTAGTTCCCTAATCACATGTCAAGTTAACTCTCAATCACTTTCTGCCCATTATGACGAATTCCTGCAATACTTTACCCAAAACTTTTATCATATCATAGCAATATCCGAAACCTGGCTTAAACCTTATATTCCATCATCTTCAGTATCCTTGCCGAATTACATCCTGCTCCGTCATGACCGGGTAAACCGGACTGGCGGTGGAGTAGCCATGTTTGTCCACAATAGCCTAAAGACCCGAATCCTCGATTGCTCCCCATCTTCCGATCATCCTCATGTAGAATATCTCTTAGTAGAAATTCTCAGTAATATTTCTCCTATCCTTTACGCCGTGGTATATCGCCCTCCTCTCGTGCCATTTGACCCGTCCTTCGAATCAACTCTATTCAACTTCGTTCCCCTCTATCCCAGAATAATTATCTCCGGTGACCTCAATACCAATTTCCTCTCAAAATCCAATGACAAATCCTATTTAGAAAATCTGTTTTTCTCACTTCACCTATTCATCGTTCCTTTTTCCTCCACCCACCACACCAGCAGATCTGACACTTGGCTAGACTTCTACATCATCGACTCAGCACAAAACCTCCTCTCCGCCTCTCAAGTGCCAGTATCCTTTCTTTCATCTCATGATCTGATACAAATAACGTATAATATCCGCACTCCTCCAATCCATCCTCGAACTATCACTTTCCGCCAACTGGATACCCTTACTCGAGAAAAAATATTACCTGATCTAGTAACATTGGATTTAAATGGAATATATCATTGCTCCTCTGTCGACACCATGGTTGATATTCTCACCACCAATCTTCTCAATATACTCAATACCCACGCTCCTCTCAAAACCTCCACTTTCCGTCATCGTCCTGCTCCTTGGATGTGTCAGGAAATTAAGGATCTGCAGAAGAGACGCGACGCTGCACGCAGACGCTTCAGACGGACTAGGCTTGCAGATGATTATCAAATATTCAGAATGCTTCGCAACACGACACAGACAAGGATCCGACAAGCGAAAGCGAACTACTTTCACGAAGCCCTTTCCTCAGCTCCTGATATCAAATCAAAATGGCTTCTACTTCGTAAGCTTTCCCTCTGTGAACCTTCTAGATCCCCTTCCTCAGTTTTCCCAATATCACCTGATGACCTAAACTCCCACTTTATATCGGTTTCCACCTCTTCGTTACCATCCCCTTCCGGCTTTTCTCCAGAGGTACCTTTTAACGACAATAATTTTTATTTTTCCGACATTTCTCCCACAGACCTTATTACCGTTATAATGAAATCCCGTTCCAATTCCGTAGGCCCAGATGGCATTCCTATCAAACTAATAAAATTATGTCTCCCTGAAATCCTCCCAGCACTCCTTTTCATCTACAATTTCTCCCTGCAGAATTCAATATTCCCGACCTCTTGGAAAAAAGCCATTGTCCTTCCTTTAAACAAAAAGCCTAATCCATCCTCTCCCGAAGATTTCCGCCCAATATCAATCCTTTCCAATCTTTCTAAACCCCTAGAAAAGTTAGTGCAATCCCAAGTTTCCAACTTCCTTGAACAATCCAACCAACTCGATCCTCTCCAATCTGGCTTCCGTCCTGGCTACTCTACACAATCTGCTCTGATTAAAATTACTAGTGATATCCAGACTGCAATAGATGACAAAAAATTAACCATTCTTATACTTCTTGATTTCTCTAAAGCTTTCGATTCCATTATCCATTCCATCCTTTTCAACAAACTAAAATCATTATCCTTCTCCAAGAGTTCCATCTCTTGGTTCCAGTCTTTCCTCTCACAACGAACCCAAGCAGTTTCCATACCTAATCAACCTCTATCTGCCTACCTTCCTTTATCCTCAGGAGTTGCACAGGGTTCAAGCATGTCTCCTCTTCTTTTCAGTTCTTATATTAATGACCTAAATGATACAATTATCCATTGTTCCCACCACCTTTATGCCGACGATTCTCAAATCTATTTATCCTTTTCTCCCGCTGAGTTATTGGTGGCATTTGCCAAAATTCAAGAAGATTTAGATCGAATTAATGCCTGGGCCAACTTAAATGGATTAAGGCTAAATGCTGCCAAAACTCAGGCCATTCTCATTGGTTCCAAGCCCCTTCTTAGATCCCACACCAACTTTCCCTCACTCTATCTAAACAACCACCCCATCACCTTCTATCCCTTTGTTAAAAATTTAGGCTTTCTCATAGATCAAACCCTTTCCTGGAATCACCATATCTCTCATATATCCCGCCGTGCAATTTCTACCCTCAAACTATTCCATCACTTCCGCCATCTTCTACCCCAAAATACCCGTAGACTCCTAGTTTCCTCTCTCATCTTTCCCCACTTTGACTACAGCTGTGTGGTGTACGATGGCCTCTCGGTGGAACTGCGTGATAGACTCAAAAGACTTATGAATTGCTTCGTAAGATTTGTAATCGGAACCCCGAGACGCTCCCGTGTCTCCCACCACTACACTGAGTTAGGGTGGCTCTTCCCCTCCTTAAGAAGACAATATTTCCTTGGCACTTTCCTTTATCAAATCATTACCGATCATCGTCCTTCTTATGCCTACAACCTTCTCCAATTTAAGTCCTCAATCCATTCACTCACTACAAGATCCCGACCCTCTGACCTATACATCCCTTCTCATAGATCTGCCTCATTCCAAAATTCCTTTATAGCCCGCTCTGTCAACTTTTGGAATTCCCTCCCGATCAAAATTCGACATGCCCCTTCCCTGTACACATTCAAAAACCTCCTATTCCAATTCCTGTTCCAAAAACAGTCAGATACCAGCTAACGATTAATATTATATATGTATTGTGTAGCAATCATATAATCATAACACTTGGTAAGAGATAGTACATGCATTTCCTACTATCGACGTAGGAATTTCAATACACACATTTTTTTGTATTTTTTTTTTATTCAATTATAAGTAACTGTTTATTTTCATATATATATTCAAGTAAAGTTTTTTTTTTTAATTAAATGAACTCATTGTATCTCTTTTTCGTTCTTCATTTCTCAAAGTGTATGTTTATGTTGTTCAACCCTTAAATATAATTTTGTTCATAGTTCAAATGATTCGTTCATAGTTTTAATTGTTTTATTCATAATTTTAAATGCTCTGTACATAGTTGTATCTGTATTGTATATAGCTTGTGCACCTAAGGTTTTCTTTACTTTTTATTTTATTTTATCAATTTCATTTATTGTTTCAACGTTCAGGCCAGTAATATTCTATTATTTTGTACATTATTGTTATTCTGAAGGGACTTAGTCCCAGAATAAAGTTTTTTTTTCTATCTATCTATCTATCTATATGCTAAAAAAAATAGTATTACTTTGGTAACACATTCAAATATCAAATTAAAGGATATACCCTTTGCAGTATAACATATAAAAAACATCTAGAGACCATATCTTTGCTGATAATTATCCGATTTTAACGATTTTTTTTTTTTTTTTGAAAATTCCATAAATTTTTAAATGATCATAATACAATATTAACAAAAAAGTGTATAGTTTTTGAGTTATTCGGAATATAATTTTACCATTCCTCCTAACTTTTTTTCCAGCTTCTTTTCGTTGAAGTATGTTATATAGATAAATTTAAAGGGCATCGAGAAGAAGACTTTAGCGAAGTTTCATTGAAATCGGTAAATTCGTTTAGGCGCTACGGTCTACAGCAGAGCAGGTTTTTCGAAATAAAATTTTATTACGCCGTAAGGTATAAAACCAAGGTCAACCAACGTTGAGTTTTACCAAATTTCTCAAAAACTGAGACAAATTACTATAAATGGCCCTGTAACCTAGAAATGAGTTCCCTAAAAGGAAAAACCAATAGAATCAAAGTTGTAGAGCATCAAATTTTGCGTATACTGACTACTGACATTTTTATTGTTTTTTATTAAGTTATAAAAATAAAAACTTTTCTCACATGAATTTCTCGTTTAGATCCTCAAATTATTGGCCTAATATTCTTTAAATCAGCCGCCATGTTTTAAAGCAGCGACTCTGGAATGGGAGACAAAGTTCTCTTTACTCAGAATAACATACACTTTCGTAATTTACAATCAAACCTTCGCCTGCGATCAGGTCGATTTTTGGGCCCTGGCTCCAGGGCTATTAGTTATTTTATGCTCGCTCAGGATCATAAGCATAATATTTTTGGGAACGCCTCCCCAATGTCCCAAAAGGTATCGACGCCTATAGTCACATCCCACTAACTATAACATTGCCGAAAATATTGAACCCACTAATGCTACAGATGAAGATAATTTTGTACTACCTCTAATATCTTGTCGGGTGCTTTAGTTAGTACGTCAGGTACTACTGCGCTCTTCTCCATGGCTTCCTTAAGCGGGTTCTCTACTTCTCCGTGTACTGAGGTGGCCATTAGTGCTAAGATAGATAAGAAACCCGGGTGTTCACACAGGTATTTCATCAACGGTTTCACAAGGAACTTTAGTAACAGAATACCTTAGAACGAATAGTTATACTATGGTTTAAATTTTAATGCACTGTATGATAATCTGGAAGTGACCAGCTGATTATAATAGAAATCGATTATCATTAAATAAATAGACAAACACAAATCGATTCAGCCCCTTTTACTCCTCTATTATTCAACCGATTTTCTTCTTATTTTTTTTCTTTAATAGATATTGCTCCTCCAGTGTTCTTTAATAATATTGCTCTAACACCTTCAAAAACTGTACGATATTTGGGTCTCCACTTGGACAAACGACTGACATGGACATACCACATAAAACAAAAAAGAAAAGAACTTAATCAGCGATACGGACTTCTTTCTAGGCTACTTGACAGACGTTCTAAATTATCTGTGACTAATAAATTAACTATTTACAAAGTCCTCATTAAACCACTATGGACATATGGAATCGAACTATGGGGAACAGCAAAGAACTCAATCATTCCAGTCAAAAGTCCTTCGGAAAATTGTAGACGCACCCTTTTATGTTTCAAACCTCACGTTACACACTGACCTTAACACTCCTTTCATCACGGCAACTGCCACTGACCGCTTTAATAATTTTCATGACAGACTGACTCTAAATTCCAATCCACTTACTCAGGCTCTATCTACTGCCACAAATCCATATAATCCGACCAGAAGACTGCTGAGGCGGTGGCCAAGAGACTTATTGCATTGATTTTTTGTGTGTGTATTTATTATTGTGTTATAATGTATGTGTTATTTTACTACATTTTTTTTTGTTGTTGTTTTTTTTGTCTTGTTATTCTTCTCCTTGATATCATATTTGTTGAATACCAAGGTAGATGGCAAATTTATTGTGAGCCACAAATATGTACAACTAATAAAAAATAAATAAAAAAAATAATAGATATTGACGAGCTTTAGTGTTATCAATAATTAAAAAAATTAAATAGTATGTGAATAAAAATATAAATGGTAGTTTGTTCAAAACGGCTTATCTTCGAAAGTTCTTCACCGATTTCTTTTAAATTTTGACACAACGTCGCAATAATATTTATAGGTTTTTTTTTGTACACGTTTCATTATCATCGGGCCTTTCCTTTCGAAATGGCGTCCGAAAAACGTGATTCGCTTTAGACTGTAGCGCCAATACGGACGGCTTCAACGATTTCAATGACACTTGGCTAAAGTCTTCCCCCCTTTTTTTTTTATTTATTTATTTATATATACATTACATCATGTCAAAATGATAATTCCAAGTTTGTGGTTGCAGTAACCTTGTACATGACATATTAGTTGTATGAATGTTGTTTAGTAGATTGAAATCCATTTTATACAGTAGGAAAAACCTCTTAAAAAACCTACATAAGAGTCTTCCCCTTGAAACCTTTATAATTTATGTATATAACATACTTTCCCGAAAACAAGCTGCATATATTTTTATGATGAATTCAGTATTTTATTTGCGAATAACTCAAAAAGTACATTTTTTTTTTTACTGGTAATACCAATATTTATTTGAAAGCTTCCTGAATTCCCTACAAAATAAAAAAAAAAATCATCGAAATCGGACTATTTGTTGCAGAGGTATATCATTTTAAACATTTAGTACCTTTCCTTTCCCTTCCAAATTCGATTTCTTTTATTTTATTTTTTGATAAATCGATAACTTTTCATTTACTGAGGTAATTGGGTCTATTATTTGAAGAGATGATATCATTTAATGTTAGTGGAATGATGCCTAATAAATTAAATTTTATAATATATTCTATAGTTATAATCATTTTTAACTTAAATACTCCACAAGCATTAATTAATGGAACAGGAATGAGACTGAAGTATTAATGGGGGCTACTTTAAATTAAAGAATTTTAGTTCCAAGAATTAATTTAACATTTTCTGACACTATACTTACATTCAAAGAACAACGTTCCTATTAATAGCTGCATTTGCTATGGCCATAATCAAATCGCAGGATAAAAGTTTTGGAAAAATGTGTATATTATTGTGACGTCCAGTAATTTCGCATGGACAATTATATGTGGCAACAATTAGAGCATTTTCATTTAAAATATTGAAATTTATATTTTCAATGGCAATGGGCAAGGCTATGCACTAAACAATAACAGAACATTTAAAAAGAACATTATTTACATAGAAGTTCTGAATAAAAATGGATTTAAATTCAATTTAAATTTATTTTTTGCTCGCCTAATCATGACATTAATTTATGGTGATAATAATACACATAAATTAAAATTAAAATTAAATATTTTTGAATGAGTATATTTTGTATTACTTATAAATAATTTTAAACGACTTAAGCTCGATTTTTAATTGAAATTTTGTTTATATTAATAAATGAGGATTTTTGAATCGTGATTTACTCTTTATTTTTTAGTTAATTATATCTTTTCATCAAATTTTTAATGGCTATGGTCGAATTTCGACCACTGGGCGAACACTAGTTAGTTTTATAATCTTTTAAAAATAATTATATTTCATTCGGATCTATTATAATTTAAATCAAAATTAAGATATTGTTTATTTTTGTTCAGACACGGCATGCTAATTTGGTGACTACCTCTGTAATTTTCAAAAGCAATTCATTTGTTAAAATTTTTAAGAAAAAATAACGTTAATAATGAGCAAATAATATAATGATAAGAATAAAACGTAATTATTTAGATGATCGCACTGGTTACACGTGGTTCACAATCAGTTCGGTCACACTTGCTCATGGAGCGCCGAATACAACCGGGTTTATCCGAAAGGCTGTTTTTAGGGTTTCTGAACAAGTGTGACCGAAGTGATTGTGAACCACGTGTAACCTGTGCGGTCCTCAACTAAATAATTACATAATAAAAACCTTAGCGAACCCGGAGGTTCGATGCCGATATCATAATTCTCAAGAGTACGTATTGGTGTACCCCTCGGACTTTATCTATCTGATGATCGATAGTTAAATTTTTATGGAATCTTTCACTTCTTAACCCAACGAATGTACATTGCAATTCAAACGATCGCCATGCTCTTTAAGTATATTGAAGTCATTTATTCAATTTCGAATTTTGTAACCTCTTAAATTCTTCAGTTAGTAATTTGGTAATTCAAAGAGGGGTCCTTTCAAAATGAACCTCATGGAAAAGGGAAATCAAACTATATTAAAAAAATATTATTTTAATAGTCATGATATTAAATACCACTTAATTATACAGTGATACACCGAGTTTAATCAAAATCGTCAGAGCAGTTTTCGAGAAACTTGTAAAAATGTGTTTCAGCGTTGATATTAAGTGGCACTTGCGGTTACCCGATTTTAAGGAAAAAGTTGCTGTCTCATATAAGGTATATTACCTATCTTAAATAGGTAATATCAGTTTCGTACGACTTTTCGTTTTTGAGCTAGACTGTTAACATACACACACAGGCACACAGACCATTTTGCGGGACTTGGTTATTTTCATAAAGTTATGTTTTACCATTTTGGAGGACTTCATCCCGAAAGCCTCTCCTCCTCCGGTAGATCCGCCTGTGGTTCTTTTATACCGCGGAACAGGGGCACCCATCCTCCCCCCCTCACTATGGTCGATGGCGCAATAACCTCCCTCCTCCTCCCAAGATATTTTATTGCTCACATTTTCCTAAATACAGAGCAAGCTAAGGTAGAATTAGAAAAATCGTAAATTATATACAATTACACTTGCTGCGGTATGTTCAATGTTTTCCCCCTTGTCCCTTACTCCGAAAATTCATAACTCCGTCGAAATTTGCATCTCCCCCTCCCAAAAAATTTTGATAGCGAGACTTGCGCTATAAACCCTCTCCTTCTGGTGACCTCTGCAGCGGACTAATATGTTAGGCAACAGAGGCTGTAATTGTGTATGTATGACTTTCATAAAAGCTAATGTGGGATTGATCGATACTTAATTTGATAGATTACAGCAATATGAAAATTAAAATTTGCATATTAATTAATAGAAAATTTAAATAGCATATAAAATGCCTAGGACTGAAAAAAAAATTGTGATACCCTTATGATTAAATAAATAATTAAAATATACAGCCATGAGAGGAATTGGAAATTGACGGAAAACATATGGTAATTAATTGTTTAAATGAATATTTTATATCATGCAGTATACGACTTCAATGGGAGCCTTGGGTCGACGAAAAAAATTCTTTATTTTTTACTTTTCCCTATTTATATACGAAAATATCAATTTCTACTTAAAGTTGGGTAATAAATGAAAGTTGTGTGAAGCGGGCACCTCGCCAGATGTTTGCTTTTACTTACCTATATATAGATATTCAGTACAATATTAATAAATTAAAAGAAGACTTGCAGAAGATTAATATGATTATCAACCCTGTAAAAACGAAAGTAATGAGGGTTGGGAGGAAGCCTAGGAGAAATATGCGCGTCATCAGAGTCGAAGACAAAATCCTCGAGCAGGTAGAAAACTTCAAATACTTGGGCGCACACCTTAATGAAAATGGATACATCGATTCAGAGGTGACTGAGGCATTTCTTCCCATTTTAACGTACTCTTCAGAATCATGGACGCTGACAAAGAAACAGCAATCAAGGATACAAGCGTCAGAAATGCGATTCCTCCAAAGATTGAGGGGAAAACGCGATGAGACCAGAGTACGCAACACCACCATCAGGTCGAATCTCAATATTAAGCCGGCCAATGATGTGATTGAGCAGAATCGACTGAAATGGCTAGGACATCTCCTGCGGATGGAATCGAACAGGATAGCTAGCGAAACATATCAAGCAAAAGTAGACGGAAAGAGAGGAAGAGCACGGCCTAGAAGGAAATGGGAAGAGGAGGTAAAGAGCGATTTCTAGAGAAGAGGTCTTCAATGGAACGATAGAAGGCGTCTTGTTAAAGACCGGCAGAGCTGGAGAAGGCTCTATAAACTTCCTCCTCACACTGCTTAATGCGGTTCAAGAGGATGGATTAAGATGATAGAATATACAGTAAGGGAAAGTATTGCGATCGCGAAAATTTTCTAATTCGACTTTTCAACGGAAATACATGTTATGAGGTCTCCTAAGTCCAAAAAACTCTAGATTTGATAT